AACATTTTGTCTGGCTACAGGTAGCTACATGTTTGACACAGTCTACGTGACTGTTGCATAATTACAGTCCTTATACTGTTTCACTCTGTAAAATGATGCAAAGAGTTCAATGCTAACTTAAAAAGTACTGATTTGTAGCCTTTTGGAATAGGAATGCAGTATTACAAAGTATGATTTAGTCTGGAATCAGACTGTTATTTGCAGCCTTGTTGTTCATAATGAACAACCACCAAAGCATATAACGTTCTGTTAAATCAATGCAATTCTGGCCCAACCATTTGAGCAACGAAGAGCTGTATGAAGCCACAGGGAGTTCGCCAGTGTCAGTCCTTATACAAGTGAGAAGACGGTGATGGTTAGGGCATGTATTGAGGAAAAGTCCTAACAACATCTCGAGGACTGCATTGACGTGGGCACCTGAAGGAAAGAGGAGGTGAGGTCGACCGAGGGAGACGTGGAGAAGAACCTTGGAGAAGGAAAGGAACAAGCTAGGATAGCATACATGGGGAGCTGCTGCTACATCGGCCTCAGACCGGGATGGGTGGCATGATCTTCTGGCCGGCCCCAAGAGTCTTCATGGGCCCGATGAGGATGAGTGAGTGAGTAAATCAACGCAATGTATTGTACAAGACAGAGCAAAGAGAAACAAACCTGAGTCAGCATAATTGTCATCAACATTGACAAACACTTCAGCATCTTTTCTAGGATTAATATTCACTGCTTTCCTACAGGAAGTAGTAAAAAAAAAACATTGAATGTTTAACATAATTTTATGAATCTATAATTGCAAAGTGTGAATGATTGCATATTAAAAGTTTTTACTCTAGTGCCTCAAGAAGAAGTATTCTACATGTATAGAGGTTGCTTTTTTTTGTGCAATGTACTACATTATGTACCTTCCAACAAGGGTTTCCTGAGCTGAGCTTTGTGTATTTGGAACAACATTTTCTTCTTCTGGATCTAAAAAAATACAAAAAAGGTTATTAATGGTATCAATCTTTATTTGCACTCACTCTTGAGCACTCAAAATAAGAAATTACAACAATGAAAATATTAAAAGTAAATTAAAGTTAGAGTACTAGCTGCCTGGAATAACCATAGGGGATAGCGGAGCCAGGCAGCAAGTTAATATCAGCATTAAATAGAAATAGATTACAGGTCAGCAAGAAAACTGACGCACAAATGCACACACAAGAAGAAAAAAGAAGAGGAAAAAACGCTATTTCTATGCTATGAAGCCTAGGAAGTCTCAAATAGTAAATTTATACAATGTATATGAATACAAAACTACTGTAAGAAGAGCACAGTCTGATTATTTGCTCAACACTCAGTGAACATACATACATGTACAGCCTGGCCAACATGTAAAGAAAGTCCTGTCTGATAAACCAGGACTACTGGACTCTGTCTCTCACTTGCCCAGTCCACGAGGGAGTCAGTCAGAGTGTCTGAGCAGTATCTGGTGGCGAGGGAGGGGAGGGGGGTAAATCTGGGGGGTCAATACTTTGTCAGTTCAAGTCCTGTTGGGGACCTAGTTTTTTCTTTAGCAGTTTATCCTATGCTCAAAACAAGGAAGGGCTGTCATTAAGGGTTATAAACTTGATATTATGGGTGAACTTGCCTGTTATTGATGTAATTCCCTTACAAAGCAACTACATTGTACAGTCAGACCTCTCCATATGGACACCGCTCTAATACAGACACCTCTCTAATACGGACAGTTTCTTATGTACCAACAAAATTCTCATACATTTCCTCTAAAAAAAAATCTCGGCCTTAGGGAGCAAATTCATTCAAATGTAACCTCTTTTTTATGGACGATCTGGGGACCAGATGTTGATAATTTGCGGTATGTACCAAGATTTCCTGTCGGCAGTTACATAAACATTGACACTATATCATTCAGCGATACCAATAACAGAACACGTCAAAATGTTAGTTTTCAATCGAAAATACTGTGGAGACTTAAAAGTGATGTCATCAGAGTGACCTCTCCAGTATGGACACCTTTCTAATACGGACACTTCACTCTGGCCCTTCGGTGTCCGTATTAGAGAGGTTCAACTGTAGTTTGTTACGTTTAGAGTGCCTGACCAGTATCTCCAGTTTATCCCATGCCCACTATAACACAAGGCTATCATTAAGGGCTGTGACCCATAACATCTGTTATGCCTGAGTATGCTCGATAGGCCCTTGATGTTATGGGTGAACTTGTCTGTTACTAGTTTAATTCCCTTACAAAGCGACTCAGGTTTGTTATTAAGTTTTGAGTCAACTGTAGTCTTGATCTTCACATCCATAACAAACTTGTCACCTTTTTAACAAGTAAATTGTATCAACTATAGTCCAGTTCACCTCTAACATCAAGGGTCCATCAAACATACTCAGCCCTGCAACTAGTTTGTTATGTGACTGTGTGACAATGAAAGCAACAGGATTTTACGAGATTGTTTACAATCTGTATGACTGAAGATACTCTAAAAGGATCTTCATCAATATCCAGAAAAGATTGTTAGGTCTTAAGGAACATTTAGAAAATTTTTGCTACACACCTTTTTGACAAGGTCACGCTTTTCCGATTTTTTCATTCAAATAAATAATTAGCCTCCTGCTCAATTTTTCCTGCCAGTATCTAGGGGTTCTACATAATAAATTCAATTCTTGATGCAATCACATTTAGTGACCAATGTTTTTGTAAATTTGCAATGTATTGTTACCAAACTTTGCCTTTTTTACTAAACTCAGCATGATGTATTGATCTCTGGTTGTGATTTTTTGTGTAAATGAAACAATACAAAAAAAATTTTAACATTATGGCTGTACATGGCATTGTCAAAAAGGACCATTGTAAACATAAATTTTATGAATTAATCATTACTGTACATCAAAACATGTGCAGTAACTTTACAAAATAATGATAATGATAATGATAATGATAATAGTTATAATAAAAACAAACTTTTTCATACAAACTTAAATTTTACATGTATCTGGTAAAAAAAAAAGTAATAATAAAAAATAAAAAATAGCAGTAAATAATAATAATAACTGTACCTGAATCAGGAAAGTAGTCGTCAATGTTCTCAAACCCATGTGAGTCTTTTCTGGCTTTAATGTTCAAAGGAACTCCAGTGCGTCTACAAGAAATGTCGTTTAAAAACATTGAGCACATTCAAAATGGTCACTGAATGAAGTTATAATAACGCTGGAGGACACAACTGAATATCTTGCCAGTGAAAACCTAATTACAACAGCAAATAACCTTTTAAAGGTTTTGTTTCACATTCAGCCCACCAAGCTGAGTCGTAAAGGAAAAGTGACAGGTGGAGTACAAAGCAAATTCACAGACTTTCAAAGGATTCCAGTGCTGTGTTTCAAGAATAATTTATAGAGTAATTTTAGTCTGAAACTATGATAAATTGATTGTGAGGTTTCTTTAGACTGAACTTGTTACAGATGTAAGCAGTATTAAGCAATGTTTTGTTCCTGTACAAAAAGTCTGCTTTAGCCTTTGTATCGATAAAACATTTTGTCTGTGAGATTTTTTTTTTTCTGAGAGCATGCTTAATACAGACACCGAGATACAAGTCATGTACATGCAATACAGCAAATATGGCATGCGCCCTTCGTGTCTACTGTATGAAACAGATACATACATATGTATGAGCCAGATTATATGGCTTATTGCTTTGGTTTTGCAGGCCCATAATAGGCCCATGGGCATTACACGTATACAGGAGAATAACATTCTAGAATTAG